CTGGAAATAAAAGTGACTGCTGGATATGCTCTCACAGCCCAGCGCACCTACAACAAGGAATCCCAATGATCGGAGTACCAATATCCCTCCGGCAATGGGGAACAATAAACGGCGGCTTCGTTAGACACTACTCGTTAGCTGCCCATCGGTCCGCTCCTAAAGAATGGAGGGCCGCCCCTGCTAACTGGATAATCTCCCCAAGAGTAGAGGCGCCTTTCTGTTACAGATCCAACAACACCGGAGCTTATAATAAAGCCACACCTGTAGGACACTACCCTCATTGCCTAACTACTCTAGATTATAGCCCCAATAGCACCAGTGGAATCCTGTTGGGTAATGTACCCTCTCTCAATTGTACAGGATTCATGGTCTACAACTTTTCTAAGGAACCTCATGTTGCTCTCATTGCAAACAGATCGGAATTTTACATTGACTCCAATTTTACTTCTTGTAATATATCTCGGTCCAGCAGGATAACAGCTGAACGTGGTCCGTCCTATACGATGCATATTAATCGAAAGTGCCGGATATGGCACAACACCTGTCGAGATTTGAGTACCCTTTCTGCCCCAGGCCTTTACTGGCTCTGCGGAAACAGGGCTCATAAAATCTTGCCCTGGAATTGGGTGGGGGCATGCACTCTTGGACGTGTTATCCCTGGTTTTGAAATGCATAGTACAATATATCTGGAACAAGTAAAAAATTTCAACCATCACATGAAAAGGGCGGTTAACCCCTTAGCTACCAGAAACACAGGGTTCCATCAATTTGTGAGAACCTTCATACCGTGGCTTGGAGTAAGAGAATTGGAACTAGCCATAATTAACATTTCAGCCACAATGGAAGCTATGGGAAATGCCACTGCGGATGCAATTCAGGCTCTGCAAGAAGAGATCTCCCAGATCTCACAAGTAACTATACAACACCGCGTAGCCCTAGATTACCTATTGGTATCCCAGGGAGGAGTATGTGCCTTAGTAAACTCCACCTGTTGTGTCTATGTCAATCAGGACATGCGAATTGAAACTGACATTCGTAAAATCCGAAGTCAGTTAAGGGTCTTACATCAAGTGGCCTCAGAAAATACTGACTGGGGTCTAAAAGAAATGTGGTCTTGGCTAACCTCCTGGCTCCCAGATTCCGGGGCCCTTGGCAAGAAAATCCTGTATGGAATATTGTTTGTCTTGATAGTTCTGATAATGTTTTATGTCTTAGTGCAACTGATCCTCTGCTGCGTGAAAGCCAGCAGGAGAAGCTTTAGCAAGGCAAGAAAACCCACAGCAGAGTCTAGAATAATGGTATTACAAAAGTGTGAGCAGATTGAAAGAAAACATGAAAGGCTGCATGATGAAATAGAGGGGCTCATGAGAATAAAAATTTAAGGGTAAAGTGAGACTAAATAGTCTCAAAGGGGGGGGACTGTGGAATCAGAAAAAATATATGCCTTAAACTTTGACTATTTTAGTTATAAGATGACATAACCGCTTTGTGGAGAATTGCTGGCTCTGTATAGTAGAACAGATAAGAGAAAGTGTTTGTTCTTTGTAACTCCTCTGCAACTGCTTCGCTCACCGCGGCCTTGAAGATAGCAAAAAGTATGTACAACTCTGATTTGCAGGTTCAAGAAGGAGGTTTGTGAACTAACCTCGCCTCCCCCATTAGTTCCCATCCTGATTACAGCAAAGAAATAATGAAGTAATATTATAGCCGCTTTTCATGCTAATTTCACTATATGATCACGTGAGTTGTAAGCAACTGTTAAAAAGTATATAAGCCTCCTGATTTTGCTCTTGGGGGGGGACCCCTTCCAAGTGCTTGGGAGATCCATGTCACTTTGGAGTCCCCCCTACAGCTGTAGTTTCTTTTGAATAAAAGCTTCTGCTGACCTGACCCAAAAGTATGCTGCGTGTGTTTCCACGACAAGTTCTTTTCCTTTTCTGAGTTAAGTTTAGAGACAACCTCCAGTTCAAAAGCCTATCATTTATCCTAAGGATTGTCTATATATCCACTTGTTTTCCTGTAACTCCCCTCCTCTCAACTTGGTAAACACAAACTTAAATAGTTACGTTTACATTCCATAATTTATGCTGTTAACTTTTTATATTTGTTTAGGCCAATGAAAACACATTACAGCAGTTTTATCTGTTTATATACAATTTAAAATTGTTTCCTCAGGAAGAAAAAAGACCCGCTACAGTTGAAAGCATATTTTAAAATAGCTGTTTCCATGGAAATTTAATTTTAAAAGGTCACATTTTTACTAGTTTTAGGTTTTGTAAAAGGGCCAAATTTGAGCAGTAACCCTTTAAACCTAAAGCTGAGTGCTGAATAAAATTAACCCAAAGCCTCTTTATTCATTAGCACTACATATGTATACGCAAACACTTCCTGCACATTTAAAGTAAATAAGGCTACAGCGAGGCAGCATAAATTTGCTTTTGTGGAAGCATATGCTTAAAAGGAAAACTAAGTACAGTATTTCCTAAAAAATGAAGCCATTTTTATTTTTAAATGAATAAGAAGCTACAGCCATAAATGCCAGATTTGTAGTCACGTTGCTCTTTAAACTATTCAACACAGAAGGAGCTGTAAATTTAATAGGCAAAATAGAGAGCACAGCAGACTGATTAGTTCATAAGTTAAGGAGGCAGCATGAATATACTAAATATTTTAACAGGTCAGTGTGCCTAGTTTTGTCTGCCTCAAGGGGTCCTCAAGCTTATTCATAGTCTGGACTGCATCTCAGTAGAGATCTTCACAGGGACATGTCAGCTTCCATTCAGAATCATATGCATTGCTGTGGCAACTACAGCAATTGCTTCAGCAAGAAAAGACTGCAACAATTAAGAGTATATTTGGTCTGTAATTTTCCAAGGAAACAAAAGGAGTTATGAGTCTATTGAACTCCAGCTCCCTTAGGCTTTTTTGGAAATCTCAGTCCAAATATGTTTTAGCTGTCTCCACAGAAAAAAAAAACAGCATTACATCTCCACAGATTACCCTAGAATCACTGCATCAGTCAATAAATAATGCATTATGGCTTATTGGTCCATTGTCAGGTATCATCCTTGTCCTCATATTATTGCCCGGAAATTACTTTACTGTCAATTTCAAAGTACTTCTCTATAGTTACATTGTAACCTATTTCTAGAACTGCCAGTACCTGTAGTATCAATGTGCCGGTTAACAGCACTAATACTCCGGGGCAAATCTGGGGGCGGTACACCAGCACTGGTCCCCTGCTTGAGTTCTGCTCCACCCCAAAATTGCCTGGCACCAGCATTTCTAGTCATGCAGCACTGAGGGAGTCACCTGACTTCATGACTCATCATCTCCCTGATCCCTTCTAAACTCTCCATCCAGCCCGTAGCCTTATTAGCAGAGCTCCTAGTTCTGTTTCAGCTGAAGAAAAGTGTGTGGCATTATGTGACGATACACCTCCCCTCCACACACCTTTTTTCCAAATCCTAAATCCACCCGTGACAATACTTCTCTGGTGCTCTCCATTTGGTGACTTCAAAACACCTGAGAGCAGAGGCAGGCAATTATTTCGGGCAGAGGGCTGCTTACAAGCTATTGAGGGCCACATGACAGGCATCCCAGGGCAGATTAATATTAATTTTCTAAATTTTTTAGGGGCCCGGCAGGCCGGATAGAAGGCCTGGCAGGCCGCATCCGGCCCCCAGGCCACGTTGTGCCCACTCCTGCCTTAGAGCCCTTTGCAAATTAGAGGCACCATCTATTTCAAAAGCACCATCTGAGAAGGCCCTTACTGGCCTTACAGATAAATAGTCTTATGGTGACTAGGCAAAAAGATCAGAAGAAAATGGTATTAAACTCCCCCCCATGGATATTTTGGACACTGGCCATCCCAGATGGGGTCAGCATCGCTCTTATTGCTGATGGTCTGTTGCACTGGGGGTCTAGGACTGTGAAAAGTGGGGGGCAGAGGGGGAGGTGCATCACCGCACATCACACCACACACATTTCCTCCAACTACCTGGAAAGTAGCAGCTTTCCAGGTAACATGCCTTCCAGGTAACAGCTTTCCTGGTAACATGCCTGGGGCCAAGGGCTCTACTGGAATGAGCTAAAAACAGTCTGCAGGGCTGTGGACCGGGAGCTTCGCTGGCAGGAGCCGCTAAGACAGCAGCACTGCGGAGCAAAGGCCGGTTGAGGGTGCAACATCGAGGCCAGGACAAAGAAGAGGGTCCTTAAGACCCGCGGGACGGAGCGAGGAAAAGGGGTCACTTCAAGGAGATGATTACGATGGGCCGCGAGGTCAGGGGGCTCCCTCAGGGCTGCCCGGCTAGAAATGCAGCGGCCACCGCCAGGTGGCTTCAACCTCTGTGGAGAGCGGGAAGGGGGGGGTGCCGCGCACCAGAGCCCCGTGGGGCGCTATCTCCCGCCCCGCGGAAGGAGGGCAGGAGAAGCGGGGCCACATCCCCCCACCCCCGCCTGCCAGCGGCGGCGGCGGCCCCCGGGGGGGGCCCCCAGA